TTTGACAACTCTACTTCTGGTGGTTGAGCTTGCTTATACTTGAGGTATTGTTATGCCTCATGTGTAGATGCACACTATTGTGCAGCTCTTTGATGAATTTCGATTTATTTCTCTCCATTTTTAAGTTCCGAAGATAGCGCCGGCGGTGTTCATCCAGATGGCAATGTTAACTGGCACTCTAATGTCACACCGACTATTTCTTTTGTGATTTTCCTGGCAAGAGCTGTTCTAGCACCCTAGGCAAAGAGCGATAAGGTAAATCAGGAGTAGCATAGTAACAAAAACCAGTGGGAGCTGGTCGTTCACCCGCCATTACGCATAACGCATGGGAGGCTTTGGAGCCAGCTAAAAGATAAATGACCCACGGGCGGCCAAGAGAAGAAAAGTGGTGATGGAAAGTTTCTGGTGCTCCAGCCAGCCAGTGTGACAGGGGCCTCTCTGTCATTGGTTAGCTTTCGTGCCAGTGAAATGAAATCTGAAAATGCGAGTGTTTTACGAGCAAAAGCAGTTAAAGAAGAGGATCTGATTTTCATTATGCCTGTCTACTAGTGTTGCCAATAGCGAAAGGCACATGTATACCAGATAAAGCTAAGTATATGGGGTCAAGAGAGAGTAAGTGGAGAGCAAAATGTCTGATTCTTGGGCCTAGAACTTTTAAGGTGCGCTCTTTGTCAACAATAAGAAAGATTATTTTTTATTTTGCGGTTTAACTACTGATAGTGTTTGGAAACTGCTGAGTATAGTAACTAGCGCTCAGACAATGAAAAAGCTTCTATTAGGGCCCGCTGGCAACCGACATCTAGGAAGACACATAAAGGTTCATTTAAAGCCGGCATTTAGACGATTTTGGACAATTCTAATGCTACGCTTAGGTGCATACGCAGCAGAAAACATTTTCAACATTCTATGCAAGGCTTAGGTCTGGTAGCATGCCTTTACTAGGGGTACCATAGAGGTCATAAGCCTAATACTTTTTCCACGGATCAGTGGTCAATAAGTTGGAAAGTGATAAAAGTCTGAAGAGAAGGGATGAAGATGTAGATAAGAAATACGGATTGAAGGAAGAAGTCGGTGAAGAATAAGATCATCTTGTGTTCAGTTTGCTATTCTTAAACCCTGGAAGATGGGTGCGACGGATACCGTTAAAGTCTCTTAGGTGCTAGAGCAGTAATCACAATGAATGTGGATGAGTTTTGAGCTGAAGGTGCTTAGATGTCTTGCCACTACATCGTGGGCGTCCTCAAGCTATATCAGGGCCAGTTTCAAAGAAGTGGTCTTGCGAATCGCAGATATGGAAGATGCTTTGTAGATTGCCAAAACATAGGAATTTTTGTATCTCCTTCCTGAAGACCTGCAAAATTTTGGATTTCTCTTATTCTGAGAGGCAACCGGTTCCATATGTTCACGTAGACAACTAAGAAGAAACGAGACCGCAGTCTCTTCTTTGCCTTTAGCGGAGTAATGGAATGGCCACTGTTTCGGAGTCTCGATTCAGACGCGCTCCTTAGTTTAAGACAAGTGATATTACTGTGCAAACTTTCTATGAATTAGCTTGTGTAAGAAGCACATGTTAAGGATAATGCGCCTTTGCCATAG